CAGGCCCTAGCACCCTCACACAGCAGTTCCCTTCTGCTCCCTGCCCTCTGCAGCCAAGCAGGAGCCAGTCCTGGATGCCCCACGCCCGATGGGTGCAGGACTCCTGCCCACGTCCCCTGTTTCCCCGGTAAGCACTTGCCTACCCCCCGGGTTGGGAAATGCCTCCCCAGGTCAGACATTGCCTTCTCCTGGTTGCTGGGGCAGGGGCAGAGCTAGGACAGGGCGGGAGATGGGGCTCTGTGGGGTCACCCTTTGCAATACGGAGCTGGACAGGCACAGGGAGAAGGAGGTGGCATGTGGGGGGGGGAGTCACCTGGAGAAGAAACAGGGTGGAGGTGGGAAGCACCCCCGTTGCAGGGCCCCTCTCCTGTGGCGATGGGGCTGGGGCTGCCCCTGCAGATGGTGGCATGTCCCCTTCCATGTCCCCTTACACAGCTCTGTGGGGTCACCCTTTGCAATACGGAGCTGGACAGGCACAGGGAGAAGGAGGTGGCATGTGGGGGGGGGAGTCACCTGGAGAAGAAACAGGGTGGAGGTGGGAAGCACCCCCGTTGCAGGGCCCCTCTCCTGTGGCGATGGGGCTGGGGCTGCCCCTGCAGATGGTGGCATGTCCCCTTCCATGTCCCCTTACACATGTTGTGATTGTCGATGCCTGGGCACCGACCGACCCAAGGGGAAGGTCTGGTCCCCGGTGCACGTGGGGCGCTGGCTCCCCAACCTCCCCCTTCCCTCTTCTCCCCGCAGCAGAGCGCTGTCCCCGACGTCCCCGCCACCTTCCTCTCCAGAATGGCCCAGCTGAGCCCAGGGCTGGCTCCTGGCTCCAGCCCTTCCCCGGTGGTGCCGGTGCCGCTGGCTGGCACCCCGCCGAGCCCACTGGTAGTGCCCAAGGCAGAGCGGCTGTCCCCCACATCGGCTTGCGGTGAGTCTGGGGCACCCCAGGGAGCTCCACGGGACACTGCATTCCCTGCACGGAGCCTGGACCAAACGTTATGGGAATATTCAGTTTGGCTTCAATCCCGGCTGTTTATATTTACCCGGAGGAGTTCTTTGTGTGTGAGGAGGGCACAGTCTCTTCACCTGCCTCCTTCTACAGGGACAAAAGCAGAAACAGGAAAAGACAAAAAGGAGCAAAATGTCGGACTGTGGTTTTGAAAACCCGGAGCTTGGTTTTTGAGTAGGAAGTGCCCTGCTTTCACCCACAGAAGCCAGAGCGGCGGCTGGAAACCAGGCTCTGGTGTCACTCTCTGTTTCAGTTTGGTGCTGCAGACCACAGCCTTGCTGCCTTCAGCCCCCTCTCCTGGCGAATTCCACCCCAAGAAACACTGGGAACTTAAAATGTCACATTCCAGATGTTCCCATTTCTGAGCCGTTGTAGAAATGAGTGGGATTTGGGATAAGAGAAAGCGATAAGAGTTGGTTGGATGGGGCACTGGGGCAGGGCAGCTGCCCTGGGACCGTGGTAGTGCTGCAGGCTGCTCTTCTCTGCCCGTCCCAGCCTGGGACCCTGGTGCCAGCCCATCATGAGGGGCTGCTGCTGCCCCTCTCCCCAGAGCATCACTTTTCTTTTTCCAGGTATTGACTGGCCCAAGCCTGGCCAGGCTTCCCCGAGACCCACTGCAGGGCTGGGCACTGGCATCTCCCTGCACCACCCCGTGTCATGTCGGGGCAGGCCTGAGTCCAGCAAGGTACACCAGGAGCTACGGGAGGCACCATCTCCATATACACTCCCTTTTCCTGCTGCCCCTCAAGCTTCTCCCACACCCTCAGGCACTGGCATCTCCCTGCACCACCCCGTGTCATGTCGGGGCAGGCCTGAGTCCAGCAAGGTACACCAGGAGCTACGGGAGGCACCATCTCCATATACACTCCCTTTTCCTGCTGCCCCTCAAGCTTCTCCCACACCCTCACTACAAACTTCGGGCAATCACAGCCCCACTGGGGCCGGTGGCCCAGCGCTGAAAAAACCTCGCGGGGGGGGGGCGCCCCCGCCGCATCACACACATCTCCGCTGAGCAGAAGAGACGCTTCAACATCAAGCTGGGCTTCAACACCCTGCACAGCCTGGTGAGCACGCTGAGTGCCCAGCCCAGCATCAAGGTGAGTGCCCAGGGCTGCGTGGACCGGCCAGCCCTGAGCATGGAGGGACACGGCGTGTCCCCTGGAGACGCTGCATCCCCAGCCTGCCCCAGTGCAGGGAGCTCCTGTCCTGCGCCCCAGCCCTTGGGACAGGAGGCTGCAAGCCTGCAGCAGGCACATGGAGACCCATATGGTGCAGCTGTGCCAGGGTGGTCTGGGCACTGGAGCGGGTGGCAGAAGCTGCCAAGGCTCAGAAGCAGGACACCTCTTGCACTGCCAGCCCTGCCGCACGAAGCACCGGGTGCCCGCTCCGTGCACTGTCTCCCCCTGCGGCCCCTCAGGTCAGCAAGGCCACCACCTTGCAGAAGACAGCCGAGTACATCTGCAAGCTGCAGCACGAGCGGGCAGCCCTGCAGGACGAGGCGCAGCGGCTGCGGGGG